CTTGAAATGTATATACATTTACATAAGAACAGGATATAGTCATAAACACAATGTAGTACACAATGCATACTGTTAACTATGACAAACCATCATGTATAATGTTCTTCTGACTGATCAATTTTATATTGTCTGAAAGTGAAAACAGTATGAAACTGAGCATATATATATATTTTTATACTAGTTTAAGCTGAAACCCTGTTGATTGTTGGGACTTTCTATTGTTTCCAAAGACCCAGTTATTGACCAGAACCCAATTATTGAACAAAAGAATTGGACCCACTAATTGACTTGCTTATGGAATGAATGGAATTTAGACCAGACATTCCACCTTACTTAAACTAGAACTATCACTAAATGTGATTAATACCCCCACAAGACTGCTTCGGAAATGAGGATGTTACTAGTAACAGAAAACCTTGTAAAAGAATTGAAATATAGAGTTATGGTTGTGGGCAATTAAAGATAGTTGTGGTTCTTGTATATTGCATTTCCTTTCAATGTGGTTGACCATTGAAGAAGTTTTATTGAATTACTCTGTAATAAGTCCACAAATACAAAGAAAAGCAGGGCTCGAATTTAACTTTTTTGGCCACTAGCAATTTTTTGCTAGTAGACAAATTTTTAACTAGCAAAAACTGAATTCAACTAGCACTTTTTATGACAATGATTTTTTAATTCCAAAATTGTTTAAACTTTTGTTTACATTCATTAATTGTTTACATTATCATGTACCATAATAATTAATTCATTGTTGTTACAATTATGTATCATAATAATGAATTTTATTGAAAATGTTTTTATTAATAAATGTTGTAGTACAACACATAAATTTACAGTAGTTTGTTATAACTTGAGTTCATTCCATAGCTGACTTAATCATGAAATTGGGCATGAAAAAAATTATAATACTTCAATTTTAAGTTTAATTATTTGATGTGCTGAAAGACAAAGTTGTTGCTGGATATAGAGAATAACAAAATTAAAATTGTAATTTATTTGAACGAGTTCGAACTGCCCGGGATACGAATCAGCAATGTAACTTTCCACTCAAAAACTTTATTTAGGGGACAGGGATTCTTATCAAATGTTAACCTACATGTAAAAAAATAATAATGCAATATTGTCGCCATACCGACAATGTCTGGTCTGGATTATGTGCACAACAATCAGCGCAAAATATTTTAGCAACATTTCCATCGTCATCGAGTTTGTACGTAAGACTGACGTGCAGTTCTTTCTCCCATTACTTAAGGTCTGATTGTCTTTCTTTTGATAGACTGTGAATCATCTTCTGTACTCAGAATATTGTTATCGAAAGACACATTTGCTTCAGTAAGTGGGTAGAAGTTCATTATTTTTCGTTTAGACATTTTATTCCGATCACGCTTGATTTACACGGACAAAATGACATTTGGACTGGTTTAAATTTGTGTACTTTTTAAAGCGAGGTTAAGGTATAGAAAATGTAAACCAAACAGCAAGTGCGCGCATAGTTTATAACTCGGCTACCTGCAAATATTACGCCCCATTTATATTTCGGATTTTCCTGAAGAGCGTATTCCGTTTTTTCTTCAACTTGCAAAAAATTGCGAGTAGTCATAAATCTGACTCGCAAAATCATTTTTCAACTAGCATTTTGCGAGTTTGCGAGTGTTAAATTCGAGCCCTGAAAAGGAACAAAGGGCAATAACTCTATAAATACTGAAGATGGAGTTATAGTTCTTGTGCACTGCACTTCCTCTTTTTGTGCTTGACCATTGTATGAAGTTGTTTTGAATTTCAACCAGTACGTTTTAAGTTATGCTCCAGACAAGGAAAAGTATCAAAGGGCAGTAACTCTGTATTTTGTCAAAATGGAGTTATGGCTCTTATGCACTGCACTTCCTTTTAATGTCCTTGACAACTGTATGAAGTTGTATTGAATTCCAAACAGTAGTTTTCAAGTTATGCTCTGGACAAGGAAAAGTAACAAAGGGCAATAACTCTGTAATTTGTCAAGATGGAGTTATGGTTCTTGTGCACTGCACTTCCTCACAATGTGCTTGACCATTGTATGAAGTTATATTGAATTCCAACCATTAGTCTTCAAGTTATGCTCCGGACAAAAAAAAGCAATGGAAAAGTAACAAAGGGCAGTAACTCTGTAATTAGTCAAGATGGAGTTATGGTTCTTGTAAACTGCACTTCCTCTCAATGTGCTTGACCATTGTATGAAGTTATATTGAATTCCAACAATTAGTCTTCAAGTTATACTCCAGACAAAAGAAAGCAATGGAAAAGTAACAAAGGGCAATAACTCTGTAATTACTTTAGATAGAGTTATAGTTCTTATGCACTGCACTTCCCCTTACTGTGTTTGACAATTGTATGAAGTTGTTTTGAATTCCAACCAGTAATTTTCAAGTTATGCCCCGGACAAGGAAAAGTAACAAAGGGCAATAACTCTGTAATTAGTCAAGACAGAGTTATGGTTCTTGTGCACTGCACTTCCTCTCAATGTGCTTGACCATTGTATGTAGTTATATTGAATTCCAACCATTAGTCTTCAAGTTATGGTCCGGACAAAAGAAAGCAATGGAAAAGTAACAAAGGGCAATAACTCTGTAATTACTTTAGATAGAGTTATGGTTCTTGTGCACTGCACTTCCCCTTATTGTGTTTGACAATTGTATGAAGTTGTTTTGAATTCCAACCAGTAGTTTTCAAGTTATGCCCCGGACAAGGAAAAGTAACAAAGGGCAATAACTCTGTAATTAGTCAAGATAGAGTTATGGTTCTTGTGCACTGCACTTCCTCTCAATGTGCTTGACCATTGTATGTAGTTATATTGAATTCCAACCATTAGTCTTCAAGTTATGGTCCGGACAAAAGAAAGCAATGGAAAAGTAACAAAGGGCAATAACTCTGTAATAACTTTAGATAGAGTTATGGTTCTTGTACACTGCACTTCCCCTTATTGTGTTTGACAATTGTATGAAGTTGTTTTGAATTCCAACCAGTAGTTTTCAAGTTATGCCCCGGACAAGGAAAAGTAACAAAGGGCAATAACTCTGTAATTAGTCAAGATAGAGTTATGGTTCTTGTGCACTGCACTTCCTCTCAATGTGCTTGACCATTGTATGTAGTTATATTGAATTCCAACCATTAGTCTTCAAGTTATGGTCCGGACAAGGAAAATGCAACGGACGTCTGGACCGACCGACCGACCGCCCGACCGACCGACCACCGGGTGACTCCTATATACCCCCCCAAACTTCGTTTTTGGGGGTATAAATATAGCAGAATATGCTATGGGCGGGTCCCCTCGGGACGGATATTCCGGTCCGAACCGCAACATATGACAGATATTATCAATCTGACATCTAAAATAAGCAGAAAATATCATACATTGCTCAATACCTTAGGATTGAATTGGTATATATGTGGATACATTTAAAGTCTTCCTGGCAATATGATTGACTCAACTTACTACCAATTGTAACTGCTGTGAAATTTAAGTACAAAACATAAAAGTATGGTAAAATCAATACAGAAAACAGAACTACTGGCAGGAACAATTACATGTTTAAGGACAGTAAAGGTTTGACTTCACACAGAGCTTGTGGTTTCAAATTGCATGACAAACCAATTAAAAACTGAATCATAACACTTCAAAATGGAACCTGAAAATACTTCCCAGTTTCATCTACTTTATTAAAGTACTTTTCCTGATGTGGAGGACATTATAATTTCTAGACCATTGCAACATGTAAAAGAAGACGATACAAAAATTGTCCCCTTTAATCAAGCAATTTTGCTGAAATGTTTACAAAATTTATGACCAAAAAAAAAATCCAGTTGAATAGAAAATATTAAAATTCATACACAATTTTAATTAAGAACTAATCACCAAATCTATAAATATCATTTGTAACCTGTAAATATCATTTGTATCTCTTACACTACCAGTCATAATATAGATCTATACAAAATGGTATTCTTCCTCAGTTGCCTCATGTCAACATGCATTACATATTGATCAATTACATACATCACTCTTGTTATATCAGACCAATATCTCTTTACCAGATTGATTTTTTCTACCAACATCAGATGAACTGAAACCAAGCATTCTTTTTCCATTACAATTCAATACAGAGTATCAGTCTATAGACATCAAAGACCAATATGTTCCAAACAAGTCACTAATGAAGTAAAACCAGTAACATCTCCTAAATAAAACTTTTTTCACACAAAAAGTCCTGAGTGTGTCTGCACATTTTTACTTAATAACCCTCTAAGTGAATAGAGCTGTTTTTTCCGCCTAAAGACAAAGTCAGTAGTAAATGTTTCTAAAGTATTTTCTGGTTTCTTCAACTTAATTTATAGCAAATTGTTTATATAATGTTTTTTTTTAACCAAACATGACTGAGAAATTCTCTAAGGTTCAAAGCACATTACATCATGCCCTTTTACAGTACAGATATGTTACAATGAATCCTAATATATTAAAGAAATTTACAAACTGCTATTTCAAGTCACAATGAACTGATTTTTTAATGCAATCAGGGCTTTTTTCCAGGCATGGGGCCGTTTAAGGGTAGATTCTTGACAGAAAAATTCTTTAAAATCACACAGTTTTAACCAAAAATTGAATTCACGTCTAAAGTTTTTTCTTCCCCTTTTGCAAATATACTGTATAATTTTCCCCAAAAATTAAGGACAGGGTTGCTTCCCCAACCTGTGAAAAAAAGCCCTAGTAACAATAAAGAATATTCATAATATCTTTTGTGTTCCCAAAATCCTCAACAATTGTACTTCATTTGAGCCATTAATCAAATTTCCAAACTGTAAAAATTTGTTACCATGTAAATCTGATGAAGAATTTAAGCATAGAAAATGTAAACCTTATTGAGAAATGGTAAAACTCAGACAAGTATATTTTCTAAAACAACAGTTAGAATAATTCAAGAATAACAATAGGTTTACAGCATGCAAATCTGTGAAATAAAATTACATACCTCTTGGGTCAACTGTTTTCATCCATCCGCCTGAAATTGACAGGAAAATAGAAATGTAAAAAGGTAAATTTATGTATAATACTATTGAGACAGCATCATACAATTTTATAAGCATTATTTTACAATATAAAGTGACTTGATCAAACTCAGATTTTGAAATTTGTTTCACTCTTTAACTTAAAATGATCTCTCTAATGAAGAGCATTCATGACTTGAAAGAATTCCTGACAAATGTGGTGCATTCAAAAGTAAAGCTTGGATGGAACTTACTATATCTGACATAGGTTTTATAATATTACAGATAAATTATAATTCTTTAAGTTTCTTCATGAACTTTCTCCTCATTTGACACTCTGACTAAAAGAATATAACCTCCCATACTTTTACCACATTAATTGTAATGCTGAACAAATTAATGTTTAAAATGCTGAAACTATAGCCAACAATATAGGGCCAGACCAGCATATTGTTGTAGCTCAAACAGCCGCTATATTGTTGGCTGACATACTTCTAGATTTTTATCTCCCCAAAACTTGAAACAGACACTTTCAAAATAAAAAGAGTCCATGAAAAAAAAAAATCAACATGAATTTACGTTAATAAAAAACACATTGGAAAATTTCATCTCTGATCAAGCCACTTTTAAAGTATTATTGCAAACCAACTGTAATGCATGAAATGCTTACACATTCAAATGCTTGATGACTAAGATACATGCTGGCAATTTTAATAGATACTACAAGCTTTCAGTCTAGGAAATAAGCATTTTTATAATAGCTTTGTAAGCCTTGTATGTATATAATTAATAATAAGCAACAATATCTCATTTCATTAAATACCCTTGATTCAATTTACAAAAATTATGAGAAGGAATGTTGGTTTTCAAGATCTTGGCTTATTATAAATATTCTTCTATAGTAATAATGTCATATTCCTACATAAAATGCAACATCAAACAATAACTATGTAAGAAGAAGAAGTTTCAAATCACAATTTAAAATTGCTATTTAAAATGCCAAAGTTTTGTAGAGATTACAGTTATGAATGACAGCAAAGAAAGTAAGATATCTTTACATAAATTAATTTTCAATTTGTTCTTTGTATAGAATATAAAGAGCTATGAAGGAGATAGCATAGTGAAGCTAAATGCGTCATCAAAATTGAAATTATCTCAATTCTGAATAAATAGGCATAAATATATATCACTAAGTAGCATTTGATTGTTTGGTTTTGCAGCACATGGTACATATGTACCAGTAATTATCTTATGCATATATTAGAATTTCTTATTTCAAGATCACAATCAGCACTATACTGAAATTTACAAATTAAGTCAGCATTTGTTAAACTGTCTTAACCTTAACGAAATGTCAAACCAACATTGTGATTTGAACATGAAAGCCTACACTCCTAAATATTATACAGACAAGATAGGATGTTTCTAATTTTGGCTTTATTAAGTGTACATAATGGGGGAATAGGGTTTCATCATAAAAGTCATATGTGACGACTTTCAAGCTTTACTGCTGCAGGAAGACCTCAGGTGCCACTCTGTTCATTATTTCAGGTGCAGAAGGGCAACTGAGTACCATCAATGTTCTGTAAGCTGGCTGGATAACATCTTGAGATATTCCTAAACATGTTAGTGGCATTCCCATAATGTTGGGATCAATTAATTGCTTCAACAAATAAAATGTCTCATATTGGATTAATACAAAACTTGATAATTATCTTTTTTTTTAAACTAAAAATGAACAACTGAGTTAGAATGAAACAGAACTTTGGATAAAAATTATGTTAGAAAACAATGAAATTAAAATGTGTTACATTTCAACAACTCGGCTGTTAACTTTAGAGTATAAAGGACTGTTCAATAATGAATACTAATAATAAACATGAATGTAATATAAAATAAAAATAATAAACTCATTTGCATATTCAAAGTCTCAAATACAGCAATTATGCACTCGTTAACAGTAAGCAATACTCATGGGATATGCTTGGTAAGATAAATAACCTTATTTTACACCTAGTAGTATCTGGGATATTGTGCAAAAATTGAAACAAGTACTTGACTATATAATTAAGTGCCAGTCAGACCTTGTGACACAGACCTTTTATAAAGTGCATAACTGTTTTGCATATAACAAAGTCCAGAAAGGTCAAGGTTTTCAAACTTACATGTATTTATTCTTGCCTTTATCTGTATAAAACACAGACAGAATGGGCAGAAATTCTAACTGATAACTTTCACATGATAATAAGGTTTGACTGCCTGATAAAACTGAAATAATCAGTATATTAATGTACACATAATGTCTCTTTTGTATAGCATTGAAGTCTACATAGCAAATGACATCATTACATGTTAAAGCATTATCGTTAGTTCTTTAATTATATCCAGAATTTCCAATAACCTTCCAGTCACTTAAGTCTTCTGGTATCAGTTGTGTGCCAAGTTTCAGCAGAAAGTATGAAATTTTACTTATATCGAAAATTATATTCATTTTCCTGCCAAATTTCAGCAAAAAAAAAAAATTTCAACATCAATTTTCTTTTTTGTCAAAAACCTTTACGAAAATAAAATGTATAGGACTGTGCCACACTTCAAAGATTTTTTTATCCATAAAACTAAATCATCTTTCTTCCACATATAAAAAGCAAGCAATATCTAGAATAAACCCTTGTATTACTGCTTAACAATAATTAAGTATTTAACATAGTGCCAAAGAGAGCTGTTGCTGATTATATATATAAATGTATATATATATTGGGACATGCCAGGGGATGAAGTGAGTATATTATCAAACAGATGTTGTTTTACAGCTAGAAAATCCTGCTTTACTACAAAACATAAGGCTCTAGACTTTGTTAAGACCAGACTGGTACAAAATTATCCTAAATAGTTTAAACTAATGTAAATATGAGTAGAAATTGCAGGAAGACAAAAATGTTTACATTTTCAAAACTTTCGTCAAAACATTTTTGCCAAATACTCAGGTTTTCTATGTGATATACATGTAATATTGCAATAATTGAATCACTTACTCACAGTAAAATGAACAATTAATGAAGGTTTCTCACAATTATTTGTTGAACTTAATTGAGGCACAGACAATTAAGTACAATCACAGAACTAAAACTAACATATATTTCCCTGACAGTCAAAACTTACTTCAATGCTTTGTTTGGCTACCAAGTTTTAGGGAAGAATAAAAACATTATCTAATGTTGCAAACATCGAGGTAAAATAAATGTAATTTAGTAAGGAGGAAGAATAGAATCAAAATATAAACTTGGATCCTTCTCATATGATTTGAAGTTAAAAAGCAGGATTTTCTTTCGGTGAAACAACTCTTTAAATTCGAGGAACTTGTGAACAGGTCAAGCATCTTTAAAACTGTGATACATACTCAAAGCCTTAGCACCAGGAATGCCCATTAAACCTACAAACGAACAATATGTCATATACAAAGTGTAAGCAATTAAACTATACATTAACATTGTATGCAAAAACATGCATTAACTTGTTACAGTTCATGCGCATGACTAAATGCACATGTTAAGTGATCTACAGGTAGGATTGAATGCACTGTCTTCTTAACTTAATGTCTGCCTAGTTTCATCATCTTGACATAACAGTGAAAAGATATATAAGTGATCAACACCCACATGGCAAACATCAAAGAGGCAAAAAAAACAGTGCAAAAACATCAAGAAGACCTTATTTACCACAACAATCTTTTTTTTTATTCATAATCTTAATTAAATTCAAACATACAGTTGTGCCAAAAATAGGGTACAAAAACTTGTGTGCAAGAAAATAAATTCAAGAATATTTAAAATATCTTTAATTTCACAAATGCAAAGTTTTCAAATTGAAAAATAATTTAGACCAAAAAGTTCATAAACTTCTACATGGTCAATATGATTTTTTTATAAACCACTCCCATTTAAATAGGAAGCCTTTCAATATGCTAAGTATCCTAAGTACATGATAAATACATACATGTACTGTATTATAAATAGGTCAAGTTTATACAGTATCAAACCACAACCATGTGCAGTATGTATGTTTAATCATAGGTAAACTATTGCATACATTATAACAGGTGTGGTATCAAGGCCAAATCTGTAGTTATTTATAGCAACAACGACAAGTCATGTGTTTAAAAGTTATCTTCAGTCACAGTATTACTCGGTGCAATTTCACTCTCTTTTTTTTCCTAGCATAAGGTATTGATCAATAGTCTAAATCAATAAGCTAACAATATTATTGATCTGTAAGCTGAAGTAATAAAAACTCGGCTTTAATATAATACATAAAGAAATCAATCCAACCTTAAAGTTCATGAATATTTATAAGAAAAATATTTTAACAAAGTTTGGTGTTTCATTATTATTTTCTCGGATTTTTTTTACTATAAAAAGGACATGACATTTTAGATCTACCTTTATAAGAACTGGCGTGCTGGGAATAGAATAGTAGTGTTCACATTCAAGTGACCTGATAAAATAACCAAGACACTACATTTAAAACAAAGAAACAAACCATTAAAGATGTCTCTAACATAAATGCTTAAGTTGGTCACTGATACTAAGTCTCATCATTTTAAATTGCTTTATGTAAGTTTGAGGATCAAAGGCAGGAAAATCTCCTTTAAGTGCTACAGTGTTGAAATGATTTTGCAAATTGGGTTTACAAGAGTCGCCTTAATAAGACAAAAGAAGACCCAGCTTCCTAGAATATAATTATTCTAGGAGAAAACAAAGAAATGAAATTATGTTACCAGGCTTGTCTTCATAACTTTTATTAGAAGTGTCTTCTACTGCTGGACAGCATGTATCTATAATCTTTAAATCATCCTTTGTATTTTCATCACAATTTTCTTTAGATTTAGAGTCCATTGTGGCTATATATTGAAAACAAGCCACATAAAATATGAGCAAAGCATGTAAAAGATTCATTGATATAAATAAGGAAATAACATGAGGAAATTCAAATGTGTTGAGTCTGTGTATGTGTATACACATTGCCTAGAGGGTCAGGTGACATCAATGTGCAACACTGTCAAAGGTTCATAAAATTTACACATTCATCAATACCATGTAAAGATGTGTATAACTATATATTGCAAAATACCACTACATTAATAAATTTAGTTGTTGTTTTTTCTCAGTATCATTGTTAAAGCAAAAGATAAATTATTCTTCAATACAATTTTGATCAGACAAATAAATTGTTCTTTTCTTATCTATTCAAACCATATGCAAACAAAATCGGTCACACTGATTTTAAACTTTTTGGAGTCACTTTTACTTATTTCACAAAGCTAAATGGCATTTAGTTTCATTTCACATTAAAAGTAGAGCCATTAATTTCCTGATGCCATTAAGGCCTTAAAAATTGTGTTGTTTTGGTTAGGTAACATGGTCTCTAAGACTCTTAAGAATAAGAAAGGGTAGATGTATCACATGTCGGGTGGGATGAACAACACAAGTGGTAGAAGACCACCTTGCTTACATGAAATTGGCTAAAATAATGTTCAAAGAATTTTTTTTGTCATAAAAATGATAGTAGATCTATGATTCATCTGATTTGTTTTTGTTCATTTTATCTTTTTTACTAAATTAAATTTGGTCATCATCATATTATACCAAGACACTTTCCATTAATTGGAAAGAGGCCCTGGTGTGATATGTCACAGGCAATTTCGACTTTAAAAACAGTAGAATTTTTGCATAAACATAACAAATATAAATAAAAAACCTGTTTTAAGCACCTCCCAAATGAAGCAGTGAAATTTTGTTGTAATAAACTCTCAGTTAAAACAATGTGGCTAATCAATGAAACATTCAATTGCAGATGGAATTTCTTTCAGTTGTGAAGCTGGCATATTGAATTTGTGGAGTCTTTAAAAGACTCCTGTTGAACAGTGAAAAGGCTCTGTATGCTATCAACCATACACTCTACAAAATTTGTTACAATTGGCATGTTTGCCCCTCTGCCATGGCATGCTATTATCAGATCTAGGATTTCCTGATATTTATGGACAGTCCATAAATTTGTAGATAGTCTAGAAATTTAAAGATTTTTCAATCCATAAATTTACAGATGTTCGATGTGAAAGTTGCTGTTTTTAGTTTTACACTAAAATCCGCAGCTTAAGACAAGTTATTTTATTGATTGAATATATTTACAATGGTTATGGGGCGAGTTTCATCTTTGTATGATGATTTTGAATTTTTTGTTAAAAGTGAAAAATGGGTCATCAAATTGTTCTGAATCTTACCATCCTGTTACATTTAATCATATAATAGATATCTATGTAACCTTTTTCATTTTAACCTGCGATTTTGAATTTAAATGCAGCTATCACTATTTTTTTTACTTAATGTCTTGCGGAGTGATGCAATTACTTGAGATGATGATGATGATGAAAAAAATCTGTAAGATTATGGATCGTCCATAAATTTACAGACTGTCCGTAAATATCATGAAATCCTAGACCTGATTATTATTAAACCTAGACAAAGACTGTGCACATAAAAAAGATCCAATGTATAATTAAATCACAACATCTCATACTATTACCTTCTGCTGGAGCAGTAGTTTTGCTCTCTGAAACCTGTTCTGGTATGACAGTTTTTGTTTTTTCTGGTTGAAAGTAATCATTACTTGGTTCTGTGGGGGTGGTGTCAGTGCCAAAGGATAGGAGATTTTCATTTTCAAATGCCTCATTTGAAGGTGGCGCACTTGGAGAAACACCTGTGAAGTCACCTAATAAATCTACTTCACCCTGTGCTGGATTACCTGAATACCTGTCCTCCTCAGCCTCCTCCCCAGTCATCGAAGTTGAGGTTACGATTTCATCTTGGTCCGCGTCAACTTTTTCGAACTCCTCGCTGTTGAAATTATCTGACATGTTTCAATTTCGAGTGTAAACAAGTGAATTGTAAAAATGTACCAAATATTGCCCTTCAGCAAACTGAATTCTCTTTTATATAGAAATAAAACTGCTTTTTTTCAGTTACAGATTCTAACCGTTGTCGAAATGGCTGATTAATAATCATCAAATGTGCGCATGTGTAACGGATATAATTAGACTTCCGTTATCGACGGCAATAATGGTTATTCCCCTTTACTGAGTTTGGAGTTTGGTTACAGAGTACTAAATATACTTTACGTGAATTTGGCCAACGCACACAGTGCTATATGTACCTAATCTAGTCAAAAGTAAAAAGATTCCTCTTTTTTTAGTTTTAAGCAATCTAAACTTGTCAGTAAACAAAAAGATGTGGCGAAAACTGAAGAGTTTCTGACCTTAAACAAACAAAAACTATATATTAATTATGTATTTAAAGTAAACTTGTCTGTTCAAAAATGATGTTAACAATAAAAAATCTACAATATTAAATATGAAGTGACAGATTTCAAAAAACGTCTGTCATTTGACGTCTGCTTAAGAGGAAATATAAGGAGTGAATCAGTTTTCTGCTGTACACAAAGTTTTTATTAAAATATTTTTACCAGCTTAAATTACAAAGTGCCAATATACAATATTCCCTGGTGAATCGGGTAAATTAATCTTTTTCTTGTAGAATTCAACAATATATGAAGCAATAGGATTTCACAATGTCACTTGGATTTCATCACACTTAGTTATGATACTTAATGAGTCAGATGTATCAGACAAATGACAAATCTGATGGGAAGAAATATGAGAGATGAAAACGTTCGTTTATCAGTAGAATATATTATCAGGCTAATTAACAAGTGAGCACGGACCTTGTTTATGTTTTTGTTTAATTGGGTTTTAATACACTTGTTACTATATATAGTAACAAAATTGCCTATGATTTCAACTGATTATGAGTGTCAGGTGAGCTATTATGAGTTTGCGGCCCGGTATCAGCCCGCAGAACATGTGCACGTGCACAAAGTGAAAAAATGACGTCAAATTTTACGTCATCAAACAATTAACTGTAAAAGTGAAAGTAGGTTATCAGCACGAATTGCTTTGTTTTATTGTGAGAGCTTAAGCGTATTTCGTACAAACACATTTTTGTTACTATTGAAATTTGAAGAAATAATACGACAAATTCATTTCGAAAACAAAAAGAAAATAAAACTTGCTTCTAAATTCTACTGCTTTGAACACACTAACAGTACAGAACAGTAGAAGTGTATACAACGAACTTCAAAGTATTTGTTTTAAAATAAATGCTACTATTAGATCTACCAATTGTATTAAATACATTAATACACGACAGAGTAGGGCCGGAAGGTGATAATCGGCCCTAAAAATGAATAATGCCCTCGGACTGGAGCCCTCGGGCCATTGTTCAATTTGCGGGCCGATTATCACCTTCCGGCCCTACTCTGTCGTGTATTAATCTCTTATTACGTCATACGACACATTATATAGGTCATATGGCGACGTTCCAGCTTTACTGGTGGAGGTGCCCTCCCGTGCATTAATTTCAGGCCCGAATGTGAACCTGAGTAGAACCACCGACGTTTCGTGAGCTAGCTGGATAGCTTCCTCACATGAAAGAATCCAAAATTCCTGTCGGGATGCGAACCCACAGCGGTGAGGGACAAGTGGTGTGAAGTCAACGAACTTAACCACTCGGCCAAGGACGCCCCAAGGACCTTGTTGGACTGCATGCGTTTCTATCAAGATACCCCTATAGAAAAGTTTAGAACCCAACGATAATTAATTATTTAACAATGGCTAAATAAATGACACAATTACACAAAAAAGAGGAGACATTTAGTTACGATGATTTTTTTTATCAGAAAAGCCTAAGCGAAGATGGTCATAATAAACGCCTTTCAATATCCATCAAAACGCGATAACTTTCTTTATCACATAAACCGTGGCGGAGGAGTGTAATAAAGCCATTTATTACATGCTTTTCGGTGGTTTATAGAAATATATCAGTGATATAAAACTGGTAATTTCACTGTTTGAAACAGTGAAATTACCACTTTGATAATTTCACTGTTTTGAATTAAAGCCCCTTACGTTGTTTCAGTGAAATACCAGCGTGCACAGTACTGGGTACCAACTTAATGACGTGACGTCGTAAATGACGTCACGTTGTATTATTTTTTGGCGCGCTTTTCATTCAGTATTAGGTTTAATGTCTTTTTGAAACGTTTCTTTGCATATAATAAAAAGAAAATTTGTTTAGTTTAGTGTAAGATCGAAATATATTTCACCTTGTGAACACCAAAAGTTCATATTTCACTCGTGGCTTCGCCACTCGTGAAATATACCTTTTGGTGCTCACTCGGTGAAATATATTCCGATCTTACACTGAACTAAACAAATATCCTCTATGTAATAAAAACGATATTACACTCGTGTAATAACACTTTGACGTGACGTCATTTGCGCTATATAGAAACATAGCGTTAAAGCGCGCTAATGTTATCGTTACACTATAGGCGCGACATTGACAAATTACTCATTTTAACATTTGACTGTTCTTATTTTATTCAGTGATAAAAAGAATATTATATTCGTGTAGATTGAATACTAAATTTATTGAACTCGTTGAATAAAACAGTATTATGCTCGCCAGAGGCTCGCATAATATGATCTTATTCAACTCGTTCAATAAATTTAGTATTAAACTACACTCATTTAATATCCTCTATTTAAACCTACTTGATTAATAGCCGTTTTCGTAAGACGATCACAGGAATATGATTATTGAAATAATTCAAATTAATCTGTTAAAACTTGTGAAGACCTTGCAGAGCCTCATCGCACATTAAACTTTAGCTTCTTATATTTGAAAATAATTTGCTCTTGCATCCTACTTCCACCATTTTGTTGTTGTTTTTTCCGTACGTTTGATTTTCGAACTTTCAGTGCTTTGATAATTAAAACATTCCCAATGTAAGGGAGACAAAAACTGATTACTTTAAAAACAAAACTACATGTGCTTTTTATACTAACGTTTGTACTCTTTTTCCATTTATGATATTTATGTTCAATTTTTATGTTTTATTTTGTTTTATTTTGTTTTATTTTTTAGATTATGGTCATGTAAAGTATTTGTCACAAAAACTGCCAGATTGTAATGCTAATGACAGGTCTTTTTCTTATATGAATTAAACATATTTGAGTACAACAGTTCTCTCAAAGCAAGCGCACATCGCACTGAAAGTTCAATGAAATTGACACAGTTGACCTCCACACAGCAATGGTGCTTGTCGCATTGATAAGATATAAAATACGTTTAATCTTGTTATTTATGCAACATGATATCCATATAAATGTATCAAAAAATAAAAAGGGAAATAAAGTCAGAGTTTTTTTTAATAGATAGATAAATTATTGCATAAATAACATATTTCAGGTCAAATCTACGGAAGTCCATTGAGGCCGTTTGAGATAGAAGTTAGAACTTAGATGTTAGAACTTAGATGTTAGAACTTAGGTCTTAGCTCTTAAAACTTAGAGGTTCCGTATAGGCGGGAAAACGCCATATTTACTGCAAGATAGACAAGAAGATGTAAGTAAGATAAACTTTTTATTATAATTCTTTAATTCTATTTTTTATTTAAAGAATTGCAGAGAAATAGCTAGAACGTTAAAAGATTAAATGATGATATATTATAAATAAAAAAACAACCAATTTCAATAGGAGACAAAAGTCGAACAAGCTATCTACAACAAGCAGGGACAAATTAACTCCATAAGTAACTATTTTAGTCAGTTCTAGCTATTCTAGCCGAACCTGGCTACCAAAAAAATCTTCGATGGCGGACACAAGCTTTGAAACTGATATATCTGTTGCCTGTATTTATATGATTCCCCAATTAACAAATTTGAAACAGTATTTAAATTGTGTATCTAATAGTTTTATAATAATTAAAAAATGTCGGTTTTCTAATGTGTATTAAAATAATTTGATTATTTTTCCTATTGCAGAATCTTCTTTATTCCTTTTCCGGACGACGAAAATTGTTTCTACATGGGCATGGATGTTTGGCTGTTATAACACCAGTATCTAGTGTTGTGATCATGGATTTAGCTGTCATTCTCAGAGGGGCGCATTTATAAGCCTAGAACTGATTAAGAATTACTTATCCATAGTTTATTTTACAATAATATTAAACTAATACCGAAAGCAAACAAAATTATCCAACGCAAAACACATACACCAATTAAAGGACGATGGAAGGGACCCCATTATTGGTGTCGGCCTGGTGAATTTTCCTATTCTTTGTTCTATAGTAAATCAGTCACATTTTAGGCTTAATTCTGGATTCCACTGTTCTTGATGAATTATATACTGTCTTCAACTTTAAACACCAACACTATCTAAGTCAAATGAGGCCCAAAATATAATAGGTTAGCCATCTACTTTTTTCAGAAATCTTCATTCTGCTGTAACACAGTTTAAATTCACCACTTTAAAAACTCCTGACTGCTGGTGGGTGGTACATCTTTAATCCTTCCGCCAACAAATGAGTTCCTGGAGAATACACAAAAAAACAACTTTTAAAGTCATCATATAACACACAAAAACTACACACATGCAATAAATACACTTTAATTATGACCAATCTAACTAGAGATGACTTAAATCGGGCCATTCGGAACTGCCTCGGCTATTATCTATAATATTAACCTCGGAAACAATACGGATTGAAAGTAGTTCTTCCACGTGGTTTCAGATGTAAACAGAAACAGAGATAATGTGAAACGAATGTATATATTTGACATCAAATGCCTGTACCGGTACTTTTTTGCTTGAAAATATGACTGACAACAATTTGTAATTAGAATATGCCCACTGATGCCGGCTCGCCACGGCGAGCCGGTATTACGGTAGGATTTTACTGAGAAACAACCTAAAACTCCGAAGCTATCCAAAAATTTAATCGAAGCTTGGCTTCCAGCTTTCTTCAAAATTTTTCTATCAGGGCTAGGATCCAAAATTATTTAGCCAATCAAATTTAATCTTACATAGCGTCAAAAAACCTTCAATTTTCACGCCATTTTTAAAGATCAGCAAGTATTGTTTTGAGCGCAAAGATATAATGATGATTAAAATGTTTGTCTTTATGAATTCTTTTCAA